TACTGTGAAACGCTGGTATAACGAATTTAATCGTGGTCGCCGTTCGCTCACCGACGAAAGTCGTGAAGGTCGTCCAAAATCAGTTGTTGTGTCAGAAAACATTGATGCTGTGCAAAAGTAATAAGTCATTTTCAATGACAAATTACTGTTTTTTTTATTATTAGGCTCAAAATATAGTGCCCCTCGTATATGCATATAATAACGTTTACTTTCATCAAGAAATAGTTTTATATCTTCATCGTCACTCTCACTTGAACTAGAAACTTGTGAAAACTGTCTCGAATATTATCGCTTTATTTATATTCATTTGCTGAGCAGAAATATATGGCTTGTCCCCTCCCTACCTACACGTTTTATCTGTAATGACTACGTTTACACGGTTCGATTTACGCCGCAGTTATAACATCGATAGGAAACTGGCCTATCAGAGTCATTCCATTCTTCAGAGGAACAGCTATGATTAGCCAGTTTCATAATATCGATGTTATAACTGTAAACGTAATCAATGTTACAAATACCTATATGATTAATATCGCTTATGGGAAAACTTTTGTAGCGATCTATGTATATTTAAAAATTCATTTCATTTAAAAAAATTGTTACTTAAAAAGTAAAGAAAACAAGTTTTTACTTAAGGGGGTAGTCTGCTTTACAAGGTCAAAAAAATCGATTTTTTTTTATTGCTTAAATGGATAGATAAACTATCCAAGAATATATTCTCAAAAGGATAAATTCCTATTCAAAGTATTTGTGACGATATAAGGCCGAGAGCAGGTAGGTGCGGAGCGCGCCGCGGCGAATGCCGGTCTGCTCCGAGCGCGCGCCCGTCCCTCGATCCCCTTACCTGAAATATGGCTTTTCAAAACAATACTTAGGAGCCGAACAAATTCATCTTCATGAATACTACGAGGAAGCTGAAGGCCTCTTATATAGTGCAGGAATCGCTGATTAGCAGATTATTGATGTAAGTAGTCAATAAATCAAACTTTTTCCGACCGCAAACTTTAAAGCGTGTTTTCTCGAGTTTTCATTTTTACGATTTTTCCTAAACTGCGTACACGATAGCAAAAAAAATATTTGACCGATCGACAAAAGCCAAAGTGCATTCTCTTCACAACTAAATTCCCTTCTATATGAACTAAAAAAATTATTAAAAAAGTCTTTTTTAATAATTTTTACATCAGGTCAAAGTCAAATTTAAACATGTAAAAATGCATAATTTGTGTTCAAACTACAAATAATCATCATTATGCCTCTTTTTCGGAATTTTTTAGGTTCATATAGAAGATATACATGTCTAAATTAATAATCAGTTTAATTTTTTCATTTCAGACAAGAATTGCGAGCGGCATCGTGTACGCAGATGGACAACTCCAGAGCAGAGGCGCTCCACACAATAGCCTCTACATCCGCCATTTTCTATTAAATTGCTCCATAAAAATTCACTTTATACCCTTTGAATACATATTAAAATGAGGCATAAACGTTTAAGAAGTTTAATTATTTTTTCCCTTCTAAAAAAATTCCCAAAATATTGCTATTTTTGGCCTTGTAAAGCAGACCCCCTTAATAATTCTTAATTATGAACAAGACTTATTTCTGCTGCAATCAACAAACCTGCATCGAAATCCAAGAAATATTATACTCAAGAACGTGTTCTTTCTGATGACGTTCTAAAAAGTTTTCAGACAGAAGTGCAGCAAAATACTGGCTTTTGCTGATTAGTTTTTGTTTGTCGACTAGGAATCGATCTTTCTTAAGAATCAATATCATTGTTTCATGTGATTTCACATTTCTTTCACCCATATTTTCGATTCTAAAACCACCAGTGCAATAAATATGTTGGCCGAAACAAATATTATGCAAACAATTAATACTATTTACTTTCAATCGCGTCTGTTTCACGGAACAAAGGAAGCAAAAAGAAGATCAAACATGAAACATGGGCTCGAAACGTGACTTCGGAAAACCTATGGAAAATCCGGACAATGCTATTTTAGTGCCGTTGCGGGAAAAGTTGGAAGTATATACCATATGAGGTGCGTTCCACTTATCCTTGATCTACAATAGGATTTTAAGTTTTAAGCCATAAGAAATAGGCGAATCACAATCGACTTTTGCCCTCGAATTCGACTATAATTGGTCAGTTTCTTATGGCTTAAGACTTAAAATACCTATTGTAGATCCGGACTTAACGTTCACAACGCTCGTGGAATTATTTCATCCTTGTCGTTTATCAAATGTTAAACAAGAACAAACGATGCACGCGAGCGTTAAGTGGAACGAAGGATCCGATCAAACACTGACATTCTGCCGTTTTATGTACGCGACAATTTTGTTCCTTCCAAGCTAATTTTAAATATTCACAGAAAGTTCAATTCGTATTACCAATGTACTGAATGTTCCGGAACAATAAAAGAACCGTCACAGAATGTGCAAATGTCGAAGAAATGTTCAGAATATTGTGACAATATCACTTGTATATTTCCAAAGAGATTGTATACATAGAGTAGGCAAAGTATAGGGGTCCCTGTAAATGAAAATGTCAGACAGTAGAAATGAAAAGGATACGGGAGGACCATCTTTATCTTTGTCTAATATGTTGCGCGCGCATCGGACTTTGAAAACTGAGTGGGGCGGCATCGATATATATAGATATATTGCTTTCCTGAAATCTCCACCTAACAGTGAAAATCAACAGCGCATGCGCGATTAAATAAAAATGCTGATGATCCTCTCGGTTTTGGTCACTTTCTATTCGCTCATGCAACCTGAGCTGGCTCCCCTACTCGATTTATACAACCTCTTTGTATATTTCACGAAAATCGCTAGCGAGCGAGCAGTACATATCTCCGCCAACAGAGAGCCGCGGCGACGAGTATTTACTCGTAAACAAGAATTATCTCGAAGGGAATATACGGAACGCAGCGCTTCGTCTGTGAAGTAAGCTTACTAATTGGGCTCCAGGTGAAAACACATTAAATGTATTTTTTAAAATAAAATTTTGTTTAAAAATTGATTCATGGACGACTTGACCTGGAATTTTTGGAAAAATTACAATTTTGGGAAATATATATGGAATACATATGGGACAATCTCAGAATAGGCGATTTTTGGCGTGGTTCTGGTATAGCAACCAAAAACAACCGCGGTTGAGGCTATCTTCATTTTCAGGGTTCAGAAGACAAAGATAGTCCCAACCACGGTTGCTTTTGGTTGCTATACCAGAAGCACGCCAAAAATCGCCTAATGCGATACAAATGAAATTTTTAACATTTGAATGTTTCTTTTACATACCGTAATTATTCCGAATATTTTGGCGTATTCTTGGAATGTTTTTTTGGGATTTTAAGAATATTTTTTAGCGAAACGTTTTTGCTGGTTTAGCCGAAAATAATATAAAAATCACTGCTTTACTACAAAATCTATTGTAAAATACCACGTTCTTTGAGGAAATACAAAAGAGATTATAATATTATCGATGACCAGTATCGAGTACTTTTCTGTTTTACAGTTAAAGCAGGATCAAGGAAACAGAGTTTTCTGTTTTACAGTTAAAGCAGGATCAAGAAAACAGCCATTGATATGTGTTATATGTATGTATAAGGAGAAGAAGAAGGACGTAATCAACGAAGCAACGAATAACAGAATTAACATATAATGTGTGAATATTTTATTATTCATTTATTATTTCCGTGTCACACGCAGAATTAATTAGATATCCTTGTGACAGTCGTATTGCCCATTCCGTTTATCATTTCGTATTTTTTAATATTAATTTATAATATGGTACACCGATGGCGTGAAACTGTCGTTGTATTTTTTTTTAAATTACGACAAGCTGGAATAGGAAGAAACATGTAATTCGTACGATAAGAAACGCCTAAGCTATCATTGATAGACAACGTCTGATTTCTGGGAATTCGAAGTCGCCATCAAATGTTTATTTTTAATTATCTTTTTTAAAATAAATAAATTATTGCCAGTTAATGAACAATTGGTCAACTAATTTCCCAGTAAAACGTAGGATCAATTATACGTTTAGTCAAGATCTTGTGACTAATTATTTTAGATTAGTACATCATCGCAGAAAAGTGACGATTTTGTAATGAAATCGAGAACAAACATTGATCACAATCGCGAGAGATCATATTCGAGGAGCTGAGCGAGAATAAAATAATTGAGATGCACGCATAATGAATAGGATAAGATCGCAACAATAGGGAAAACTACGCACCAAAGCAAGAAAGATTTGCAGAAAGATTTATCAAAACCTTTTAATTTAACAAAATAATATACAAGTAAAGTTTGTAAAAATTATCTTTTTAGATTCTATTTTATAAGAAACTTTAAAATAATTAATAAACAATAAAATTACGCAGATTGATATCAAAAAGAAGAAACTTTTATCTCTGTATTTCTATATATTATATTACATATAACGATTGTGCTATTTTTATGTCGCTTTTATATGTACTATAGTATTTGGAAATACAGAGATGAATTCTTTAAGGAACGGAGAAGTTACTGAAGATTGAATTATGGTGCGAAGTTACAATCCCCATTTTGCTTCATTATATTGCAAATGTTATATGTATAATTGCACATATACATTGATTTATCAGCCTCAATGATGTTATTGAGGATCACGATTTGTATACTGATCGCAAAAATTAAATTACCCCGACGGGCGAGACGGTTGAATGAAGTAATAACCTCCTCTCCCCATCACCCAGCTCTGCGTACATACATACGAGAATAGTCTAAGTGCAGCACTCTAGCTCTAAAAGAAAGAGTCGACGATTTCCTGTACGAGGTACCGATCAGTCACGGCACAACTCAGATCTCATTGACGTGTTGATGAATGTTGTATGCCCGTCCGCCCCTCCTGGACTCTTTTGGTACCACGATCCGGTGTTGCGGCACCACAGCTTCCGCTTCGAGTTTCTTCTTGGTCTCTTCTGTCGCGTTTCTGTCAGCCATTAGATCGCTCGGTCTGGAGTAAACAAATGTGGTTTCCGCGCCGTGAGATTGTCCGATAGTCGCTGAACCTTTCAAGATATTGTCCTGAGCGCTCAACAATTGCTTAAATCGCTCATCGCTTTTTTCGTTTTGGACAGCATCGTCCATATTGCGGGCCGATCTCGAAGACACATCAATTGAGGGTCCTGTCCGTTCATTATTCGTCATTTGCTGTTGATTGTCTTGTTCATTGTCCTTGCTTGTGAGATTCAGTTTTGGATTCAGATTAAGACCGAGCCATTGAGTGAACAACGCGATACCTTGCTCGGCGCTGGCGGACACTGCAGCGATCAACTCGTCGGTGTTAAGAGTATCCTCTTCTTCATCTGCGTTGTCCACAGGCTCTGTCGTCTCCGTGATGCTGCGTAGGATCGAAAGGACGTAACAAGTAATTCTTTTATGAGATATTTTTTGCATTTTAAATGCTTTCAACTAGATTACTTACGCGGAGATCTCCACTTGTCGTACACCCTGATAAAAATTGAAGCATCCTATGTGGTATACGGCTTGCGGTGCACCCAATAAAGCCGGCTCGATTACCATACAGCCATCGTAGCCACCGACATCAGATTGCTTCACCGATGTAAATCGCGCGCAAATCTGAGCCAAATCCGACAACAAATTCATGCATGTTGGTTTATTGGCTGCGTTCGCTGCAAGGATAAAAATATTAATGATCAGTCCGATTGACGTATCGTTTATCTGATACAAAAAATGTAGACATTAATAAATAAATATTATAATAAAATATCTGTATTTTATAAATCGAAATATAAAATATAGATTACAAAGAACTGTTGAATATGCGGGAAGTTATATTAATATTTTCAATTGAATTTTAATCTAATTCAACGTGTTACATTTAAATTGCAATTAGACAATATTAGATTTAATTTAAAATTCAATACAAATAAGATTCCTTCATTATTACGATTTGACTACTTGCCGATCTTTATCGTCGCATTGTGAATTGGATTATCGCCATAGCTCAAATTTAATGAGATATTCTGCTCTTTCTGTCTAATATTGACGCAAGCTGGGCCACCTAGATCAATAGTGGCCGTCAAGTTTAGCTCGACGCAGCAGAGACAACCGGAAGTCTGGCACAGGCACTTGGACTGCGACGTGGACGATCTCGCTTCAACCTCCGGCAGGTCCCATGAGAGCAGGGTCTCTGCGGGCAAGAAACGCATGTGTGTGTATGTGTGCGCGTATATGTGAGAGAGATAAGGGACGCGCGTGGCAGAGAAACTCGGAATAGAGAAATCGGAACGAAACGAAAGTCGTGCCGCCGATCGAAAGTCAAATGGAAGCCAAATTTCTACGCGTTTCACCGCCGCGTTGTAAAAGTTTCCTTTGGATTCTCCTTTGGAGGAATGACGAATCAGACTGTGACATTTGAAACGTTTATATCCATGTTTATGGATCGGGGAACTACACCTGGATGCTAATAAGTGTGCCAATGCGTGGATTTCCATCGGCGTACTTTCTCGCGCATTGTCAAGATCGAATAGCTGAATGACAGTTTTGAGGGCACCTTTCAGTCTTTTATAGACGATTGACAGTAGAAACACAGGTAGCTTAGAATTGAGTAGCATAAGAAAGTGAAATTAAAGAAAGAAATTAAAGAAATTAAAGAAGTATCTAATTTAAACTGTCATCATGGAACTCTTATCCGAATATTTTTAAATGTATTCGAAATGGATTAATAATTCGAAAATAATATGTAATCAATAATAAATATTAAAGGGTTTAACCATTTTAAAAATAGAAAATAGATATAA